AGACGGCCACACTCCTCACCTGAGCAGATGTAGTGAGGACTAGGTAGCACGGAAGGTTTCCATTCTGGCTTTGCAGGCCTCAGAGGTTTCATTTGTGTATTTGTGTATTTCATTTGTGTATTGACCGATTTTTCAGCCTGCAGGCCTCAGAGGTTTCATTTGTGTATATGACAGATTTTTCAGCTCTTACCCAAACTGAATTGAATCTGCGGAAGTTGTCTAATCACAAAAGCCTATCTATCCCGGACATGTGCAGAGCCCCTATAACCAACACAGCTGAGTACCTCACAATTGCTAATGTATTTGTCCTCCCAAAATCCCTGTGAAGTGTTATTACCACCACTTCACAGTAAGGAACTGAAACACACATAGGAAAACTGAATTGTCTGAGGTCACACACAATGCCTTGAAGAGCAGAAGGTTGACACAGGTGTACTTAGCCCCTTGGCTAGCTCTCTAACCACTAGGCTAGCCTTTTTCCACAGGCAGAGCATAGGGTTCACACAGGTGTACTCAGCCCCTGGCTAGCACTGTAACCATTAGGCCAGCCTTCTTCTTGCTCTTTCATCTGATATATTTCAGGACAAATGGGCAGGGACTCCACTCGTGTCATGGGGCAAATTGTACAACTCCTAAATACATCAGCCTTCTTCTTGCTCTTTCATCTGATGTATTTCAGGACAAATGGGCAGGGACTCTACTCGTGTCATGGGGCAAATTGTACATCTCCTAAATACAGGAAAAACAACCCTACTCGTTTGACTTCAATGGGACCTCTTGTAACCATAGTTACTAGAGCTAGCTGAAAAACGACAGTTCTGTTTCATGACAACTTTCAAGGTTTCAAAATCAATTTTTTTTGTTCTGTCTGGGAACAAAAATAAAATCTTTTTAAGGTTTTCACGGAGTGACATTGTGTCAAATCATAAGTTTTCAGATCAAAAAGGCCAGACTTTTTCTCTCTTTTTCTCTCTCTCCTCCTCTCTCATTCACCGTGGATTTAAGAAACTGCCCCATCAAAACGGTAATACAAACTGATACATTTACACACCCAATTCTGGTGTGGGGGAAAAGAAACATTTTTTAGAAAAAAAAATGGTAGAAAAGTTTACACTTGGTTGAAATCTGGCCTGTTGTATGTCTTAGATTCAAAGAAACAAAATGGAGCGCCCTCCTTTTCTGGACATGTCAGGGGAGGAATGCTGGTGGGTTCCAAAATGTACATTTCCAAAGAGTCTTAAACATGTCTGAGTGCATTGGGCTGAATTAACCGCAGACATTATGAGGTTTGTGGTGTGTCTGAGTGTAACAATAGCACTAGAATCCTATATGAGAATTCCCGGACACATAAGACTAATATAGTCCATATATTTCATGAAATGTTCTATTCAGTCACCCAGCTCTTATTAAAAATGCCTGTTATGGGAAAATGCATCTGAAATAGAGCATCAGAATGCAGAAGAATTTTCACCAAAACTAACAGTACTAATTATTTTGTGTTTATTGCTATGTCTATTTTATTGAATGGCTCAGACGGTATGTAGAAGACATTTTCCTCCACTGTTGGCTAATACACTCGCCCATCTTCTAACCAGGGACGGCCAATGGTTGAATGCAACACAGCCCTAGCAGACAACATAGTGTGATCAGTGCTCTCGTATGCTGATAATCAATGAATGCAGGATTTGCTGGTGTGCAGCGTCTGTGTTATTCTCCTTCATGGGGAGCAGTGACAGGCCACAGAGAACTCACGGCTCCAAGAAAGCAAATCCAGAAGGTGAGCTTTGTGAGCCACTGACAAGCAAAAATGCCCATTTGTTTGAAAAATGCATGCCTGTGAGGCTATTAAGGGCATATATTGCTGTTTTCAAGATGTTCCCGGCAGAGCAGCAGGAAACAGCTGTGGCCATGCACTTTCTTCCCAAATTCCTTCCACAACAAAATGAAAAGAACTAGAGAGAGAAAGTTTTTTGAGTTTGGCCTAGAAGGGGAGGCTGCATGCCCCGTCTGATGTGAAAACAGGAGCACTCGCTTGCACTGAGGTTCAAGAAAATAATAATAAGAGCAATCAGCATTTCTCTGCTTGGTTGCCGTGTGTTTGTGCAAAGCCAGTGTCTAGCAAAGGGGCATCCTGAAACTCCAAAAAGGAAACATCTGAAGAGCTTGGATTGCTGGCAGGGTGGAGTCTGAGGGATGTTTACAAAGAGAGGGTCACCTCTGAGGGACGAAAGAACCTTCCAGAAGGCTGCCCCAGTGAGGACGTGAGGAGCTGAGGCATGAAAGGATGTTTAAGGCCATGACAAGTCTCTTGAGACTCTCAGAGGTGTTTTGGGGAGTGAGCAGTAGCAAATGAAAAAAAAATTCAAACCCCAGAGTGGGGTCCATAACAACCCAGAGGTTGAGCTGCCTTGAAGTGATTTGTGGAGCTCTAGCAGGCAGGATAGGGCATCACTGGTAGTTTCTAGTTTCTTCATCATCTCTTAAAAGTGTGACACATGCAAAGAGGGCATCACTGGTAGTTTCTAGTTTCTTCATCGTCTCTTAAAAGTGTGACACATCCAATGAGTTTTTCAACGTCCAGCACTTACAAAACCATCCTGCTCTCCCCCAGACACACAGTCCCTTCTCCAAAGAGCCCTATTTTAATGACAGGCCTCCTGGTCTAACGTGTTACATAAAAATGAAATGTTTCTGACCTCCCTTTGCTGTCAGGCTCAGCTGAATGTGTGTGAGACACTTCAGCTGTCATCCAGTTGCTCTTGAAAGGCTAGCCTCACCCCGAACTGTCCCCTTCATCTCACGACAAGCAGCCAGTATTTGCAGGTTTCCCTGTTTCCCTTCTTTGTTCCCCATTGTTGGAGCTCATTGAGTGCAATCGTAGAAGAGGAGGCTTAATAGTGCTGCCAATAATCTGACATATTGCCAAGAGATTGCGTCTTGCAATGCCCTTCACACCTGGCCTTCAACACATGCATCCATGCCATCCCGATCTGGAGTCCCTCAGCACCATTTTCCTGATGTTTTTCGATCCCCACACATCTGTGTTATGACAGATGGCACCTCCTTAAACCGGGACTCTTTAGTCTGGCAACATCTGTGATTCCGTAGGACCATGGATGTTCCCGGACAAGAGAGCCCTGGGCAGGAGGGCCAGGAGTTGAGAGCCTGGCACAGCCTGGGGAGGTGGTATTAGTGGCCATGGATGTTCCCGGACAAGAGAGCCCCGGGCAGGAGGGCCAGGAGTTGAGAGCCGAGCGCAGCCTGGGGAGGTGGTATTAGTGATACTGCAGTGGCCTGAGCCTGGTCAGGGCCGCAGAAGCCTGAGCGGGGCTGTGGCAGAAACGCCAGGGCCATGGGTGCTTGGCAGTCGGGCTGCCTGGTGCCTGATGGGGGCCACGGCAGCTTGGCTGGGGCCACCTGCCACCGTCAGAGCCACGTGCTGGCCACCAGAGGGCTGGTGCTGTGGCAGTCTGATTGGGACTGCATGCCGCCTGGCAGCGGGGTTGGGGTCGTAGCAACCTGGACAGCAGTGGGGCCAGAACTGGGGCCAGCCAGCAGGCAGCCTGGCTGGGGCTGAAGAGGAGTGAGGAGGGTCAGAGGACTGAGGGACCAGTAGCAAGGAACCGCCCCTGGTCTGGCAAACTCCCTCATTCGTCAGGTCCTGAGGGTACCAGACCAGGGAGTTTCCAACCTGTACACCTCACACAAAAAGAGCAGCACTCCTGAAGCCCTATTCTTGCCAATTTTTCAGCTCAAGTTAAGGACCCATCTATAACAACTCTTGTGATCCCAGTGTTGGGGCCCTGTGCCGCTACATCATAATATCAATTTGCAACACGCCCATGCTATTTTAGCAATGTGCTGCTAGCCTCCAAACGGGGGAACACGTGCACTTTTGGGAAGTTCAAGAGCTGAGGGAGGAGGAGACACAGCAACTAGTAGCAAAGGAAATATGTGTCTTTAATTTCAGAGGATTATCTGTAGCAATGTCAAGTATATCGCTGTATCATCAATGAGTACATCTGGCCCTTAACCTGGATGCCTGGTTTTACCACACTTGCCGTGTTTTAGGTTGGAGAGGCAGTCTAGTTTGACCTAGAAAATAAGGGTGGGTATTCCACTGGATTCTAGTACAAACTGTAACAGACAGGGGCTACGTCTAGACTGGCATGATTTTCCGCAAATGCTTTTAACAGAAAAGTTTTTCCGTTAAAAGCATTTGCGGAAAAGAGCGTCTAGATTGGCACGGACGCTTTTGCGCAAAAGCATTTCTGGAAAAGGGCTTTTGCCCGAACAGGAGCAGCATAGTATTTGCGGAAGAACACTGACAATCTTACATTAGATCGTCAGTGTTCTTGCGCAAATTCAAGTGGCCAGTGTAGACAACTGCTTTTGCGGAAAAACTTGCCAGTCTAGATGCAGCCAGGCTGTCTCAGACAAGTCACGGACATTCTCTGGACTAGTTCTGGTTGCTTTGCATTAGCAAAGCAGCTGGAAAGTTGACTTAATTGGCTACTCCAGAATTCACCTTGCCCACAGTGGAATCTAGGGGTACGTCTACACTACATGCTTCTACGATGTAGATTTGTTTATTCAGCAAAGGTAAATGAAGCCGCGATTTAAATGATCGCGGCTTCATTTACATTTACATGGCTGCCGCGCTGAACCGACAAACAGCTGATCAGCTGTTTGTCGGCTCGGCGCGCTAGTCTGGACGCTCCCCCTGTCGACATCAAAGAAACCGTGTCTTTTTTTTTTTTGGTTTTCGCCGCTAGTCTGGGCGTTCCCCCTGTCGACGTCAAAGCCCTTTGTCAGCATCCCCGGTAAACCTCATTCCACGAGGAATAACAGGGCTGCCGACAAAGGGCTTTGATGTCGACAGGGGGAACGTCCAGACTAGCAGCGAGCCGACAGCGAGCAGCGAGCTGAACTGATCAGCTGTTTGTCGGTTCAGCGCGGCAGCCATGTAAATGTAAATGAAGCCGCGATCATTTAAATCGCGGCTTCATTTACCTTTGCCTACAACCCTAATCTACATGCCTCTGCCGACAGAGGCATGTAGTGTAGACAGCCTAGGAGTGGCCTCCAGACAGAAAGATGGAGTAGGGGTTGAAACCCTGCATTAGAACTCAGGTGGTGGCAGTGCTATATTAAAGAGAGGAGGTACTTTCCGTCCATCTGTGATTTTCCAAATGGAAGTCAATAGCTCTCTGAAGACAAATCCTTGTGTCCTGGCTAGGGTTCCTTGACTGAATAGAACAAATTGGGGGAGGTCTAGGTTGGATATTAGGAAAAACTATTTCCCTAGTGGTGGTGGTGAAGCACTGGAATGAATTACCTAGGGGTGGGATGGAATCTCTATCCCTAGAGGGTTTTAAGTCCCTTCTTGATAATGCCTGGCTGGGATGATTTAGTTGGGACTGGTCCTGCTTTTAGCAGGGGGTTGGACTCGATGACCTCCTGTGGTTTCTTCCAACCCTTGGATTCTATGTCTCTCTGAAACGGAACACCTGTTACATCTGACGAAGTGGGCTGCAGCTCACAAAAGCTTATGCCAAAATGAATTGGTTAGTCTTTAAGGTGCCATAGGAATCCACATTGGTTGTAATACCCAGGGCTACCCATAAGCTCTTTGCTGAGTGGATATTTGTTGTCCGCACAATGTCTGCACTACCGGTGTGTCCTCTAACTCATCATTATGTATACAATACTCAGGGGGAAAAAAGGCAGGGCATCAACTCCAGTTCTCTCCTTATTTCTTGTGCCCCATTACAGGGTCAGGCCAGCTAACTGGGCCATTTCCTTCATCACTTTGCTGGCATCTTCTCCATACTGCTTTGCGAGCTCTTTGGCCACGCTTACTTTCTGGAAATTCTCTCTCAGATTAACGTTTAGCCGCACTTGGTCCAGGTACTCTGGGTTTGCAGCTTTCACTGTCTCCTCCAGTTGCTTCTGACTCTGAAGCACAGAGAGGACCATTTCCTGGAGTTTCATTTCTGTAGCAATGACGCGCTTTGTGGCGTGATTTAGCTCCCCAACCTGCCGCTGGGCCTGCTCCAGTTTTTCAGGTACTTCTTTTTCTTCTGCAACAAGTGAAAATGTATAGCCCTCCATCTGCACCTGTGCCTTGCAGGTTCCTAAAAGACAAAACAATGGGTATCTGGTGATTTAGCTCGTTCTGGTTTAGGGCCAAGAAAGATACCTAAATGCTTTTGTCTCTGGATACCTAAACCTTTGGTGCAATTGAGCTATTCACAGTGACTGACTGTGAAAGGAATGCCATGAAATTAGGTTCCTTCCAACTTCCTTATTGGTGGTTCTGTTGTGTGTGCGTGTGTCGTACAATAGAGATTAAATGCTATATATTAGCCAAGCTCCTCCATGCTACTTACTTAAACACACGTGGACCAATTCATCCATAGTACAAATGCATTCATGTTTCCTTTAAGGCTGTCACTGGAGTTGCACCAGAGTAAACTGATCCCTAATCTTCTATCCTCTCCCTGCCATTCATTCAGTGAAAACCATCCGGTGTTGGGTGAGTCTTTATAAAAAGCATATTGAAAATCTGCTCTAATCTTCCATGAGATGCATCATTGTTTTTATTATTATTGTCTTCACAAACACACGGAACTTTTAGCGCCACATGGGAGTTGTTGCGATTTCTTTTTTCTTTTATGCTGCCAAGGCTAACATTACATAGGAAGGGTTGGATTAGCTGCCAGGTGAAGAGTTATTGCACAAGGCAGCCAAATCGAAAGAGCAGAAGAGAACTTGAGACAGATGTGTAGGATCACTCAACCTGGTTAGAAAAACTGTATTCCTCTGCAGTACAGAACCAAGCTAGACACATGGCAGGTAGAAAAGGGTATCCCGAAACCTTAACAGCTTGATTGTACATAACAATAAGAAACCCGGAAGTAGCTTTTCAAGGATTAGCAAATCAATCATACGATTTTGTTAAATAACTGGGACGTTTAAAACCTGGCAGGATCAGTTGGGTAAGGCTTGCCCTATCAATGGGAGATTTGGATGCAATCCCACTCCTGGATTTCCTGAGGACAGCAGGAACAAGAAGCAGTGTAAATGCAACCCCACTCATCAGTGATGTGACTCATATCCCAGAGCAATGACCCTTCTCCCGCCAGTCCTCTGAAACCTTGCGGAAGGCTGAAATCAGACTAGGTGCAGGGTTCTTATTTCATGGTCTCAAGTTGTGGTGGGATAGGTCCAGGTTGGATATTAGAAAAACTATTTCACTAGGAGGGCGGTGAAGCACTGGAATGGGTTACCTAGGGAAGTAGTGGAGTCTCCATCCTTAGAAATTTTTAAGTCTTGGCTTGACAAAGCCCTGGCTGGGTTGATTTAGTTGGGATTGGTCCTGCCTAGGGCAGGGGGCCGGACTTGATGACGTTCTAAGGTCTCTTTCAGCTCTATGGTTCTATGTTCTATGATTCATGCACAGCAGTTCTCTATGTTCCTTCCAGCCCCTAAGTAATAGAGCCCTCTTGTCTGATGTAAAACTTGTTGTGAGGGGGGAAAGTGAAGGTAACCATGGTCTGACACACAGCTATGGAGAGCTAATCTGTATTACAGGTTGAAAATCGCTCATCTACCACCTTCGGGACCCGACCAGTGCTGAACCAGAGAATTTGCCAAACCACAGGTGGTCAATATTGTCTAACAGCATTACCAACCCTTCCACTGTTTACTGGACTCTGAGAAGACATTTAGGGGTAAATTAGAGCTAAATTACAGCAGAGAACACTGAGCACCAGGACTGGTGGCTTTAAGCAAACTTTAGGGGACCGTGGGAAACTTGGCCACACCCATGGTACGTGGACATCCAGCTAACTAAAATCATGCCGGACCACAGATGCTGCCGGTCTAGAGAGGTTCAACCTGTAATACTCTTATTAATCTCTTCTGCTATCCTGTAAAATATAGAATCTTCATGGCTTAGCTTCCTTGTAGCCATGCAGGCTCGACAGATTACCTACAGAGCCCAACCAATGCTGTGCCTGCCTCAACTTGTAAAGGGTACTGTTAAATCCATCTGAGCATTTGGTCCTCACCATTTTACCATTAGCTTCAATTCACTCTTAGGGCTTGTCTACACTGCTACATTTTTTTCACCCAAAACTGCCTTTTCGCGACAAAACAGTGAGAGAGTTTACACAGCAATGTGATTTTTGTCAAGAAAAACTGCCAGTTTTGGCAACAAATAACTTCCATTCCTGCAAGACACTTTTGTCTTTTCCACTCCCTTTATTTTCAACAGAGCCAGTGTGGAATGTGCTGTTTGTTTTGTCTAGAGAACTAGCTTCTGCCAGTATCCCACAATGCCTGTCCTGATGGCTGTGCTCAGTGTTTTGTGATCTCTGCTGCCCTGCAGGCACGTGCCCCTCCCCTTTCAAAGCTCCAGGAAGTAGCTGACAACTAAGCAAGCTCCTTCATTTGGGGTACAAACAAAGAAAACAGAACATCAGGCAGATAGTTGCTGCAGGGGGAGGGCTGGAGAGACAGCTTTGCTGCTTTGACATTCTTCAGCACAGACTGTTCCCAGGGCCATGAGGAAATCCCAAGAAGCACAGGGATCAGCTCTGCTTTCCCATAATACTGCACTGTGGGATGCCTACCCATAGTGCTTTGATCTATCTGTCGATAGGATGCTTGCAATGTGGCCATGAAATGTCACAATGGGAGGCAGAAAAACTGGTTTGACTGATTTTAACTTTTGCATGCTGTCACCAAACCTTCCCAGTGCAGACATAGCCTTAGTGTTTCTCCACTTACCATACTTCTGCTTTATATGCTCGATACAGGTTGTGAGACTACTTGTGGGAGCACAGCCAGAGTCTTCTTTCAGCCTTTGGATGGCTTCTTTCATGGCCCAGTGATCCCCATGTTGCTTGTTGAAAGTTTCAGCGATATCTGAAAACAGCGTGTCAATCTCGAGCACATTCACCAGTTTCATGGTGAGGTTCCCCTCCTTACTGAAGACATCTGCTAAGATTAAAGACCCACAGGAATGTTGAGTGCTAGCAAAATAATCAAGTGGGAAAGGAAAAATGGCAGGCATGAAATATACAGACGTCTCTTACCAGCCATGATCAGTTACAAAATCTTAGTAATATTTGGTGGCCCTCTTAATACCTCTGGTTAGAGCTGGACTTCTGTCTATCTACTTTGGTGCTTATTGGCTGGGCTTTACAAACCGCTGACTCTACTCGCCCGTGGTGAGTAGATTTCAGCCGGTCTCTCCGTGCGCCCCATTCACCGGTGTGTGCCGATGGATTGATGGATCTACGGTTGTGGAAGGTTGTGGAATCTCCATCTCTGGAGGTATTTAAGAGTAGGTGAGATAAATGTCTATCAGGGATGGTCTAGACAGTATTTGGTCCTGCCATGAGGGCAGGGGACTGGACTCGATGACCTCTCAAGGTCCCTTCCAGTCCTAGTATTCTATGATTCTATCCTCCATTAATATATCTAGCTCTTTCTTGAACCCTGTTAAAGTCCTGGCCTTCAAAACATTCTCTGGCAAGGAGTTCCACAGGTTGACCTTACATTGCGTGAAGTAGCACTTCCTTTTGTTTGTTTTTAACCTGCTGCCCATAAATTTCATGTGGTGACCCCTAGTTCTTATGTTATGGGAACAAGTATAATAACTTTTCCTTATTCACATTCGCCATATCAGTCATGATTTTATAGACCTCTATCACATCCCTCTTTAGTCCCCGCTTTTCTAAGATGAAAAGTCCTATCTTTTGTCTTTAAAATCATTAATCTCTCTTCCTTAATCTCTCTTCCATTCCAAGCCCCTCATCATTTTTGTTGCCCTTTTCTGAACTTTTTCAGCATAAGTTTAATTTTCAAAATGAATTTGGCACGTCAGGCAGGCAAGTACCGTTGAATGTCAAAGGCTCTAAGTCATTTCTTTAAATATGTGACTGATCACTCAGGCTACGTCTAGACTTCAGGCTTCTTTTGGAAGAAGCTTTTTTCATAAGAGAGCATCTGAAAAAACTTCTTCCAAAAGAAAGTGTCCACCCTGCAAAAGTGCATCGAAAAAACAATCTGCTTTTTCAAAAGAGAGCATCCAGACTGAATGGACACTCTCTCACATGTAAGCTATGATTGCTACGGATGGAACGGCCACCAGGGCACCTGAGCTTTTTCCTCTTCTTCTGAAAGAATTCCCTCTTCCCTGTCCACACTCGCCTTTTTGCGAAAGAGCTCTTTCGCAAACAGGCTTCTCCCTCATAGAATGAGGATTACCAATGCTGGAAGAACCTCTGTTCTTTCAATTTTCTTGCAGAAGAATGCAATTGCAGTGTGGACGTTCCTCAAGTTTTGTCAGAAAACCGGCTGTTTTTCCGACAAAACTCAGTAATGTAGATACATCCTCAGTCTTTGAAAACTTTACCCTAAGTGACTTGCCCAAGGCCATGAAAGAAATTGAGGAGATAACTGAAATGAGATCTCCTGAGCACTACTGCCCTTCTTTTCCAGTCCTTTACTTAGAAAGTTTTGATCAATAGATCCCATTTTAGGGTAGGAAGGTTGGCCTCCTGGTTAATAAATCAGACTGAAACTTTTTGGCAATCTCAGCTCCATTTCCATCTTAACCACACGCTTCCTGTGAGACCGTGGGCAAAGGACAAATGGAGCGATGATTGGAAATAAAGAGATGGAATTAAACACCGACATATGCAAAGCACAAGGGAGCCAACAGCCATGCCGGGACCTGGGGCAAAGTGGGGGAGGGCAGCTTTGCACTCCCAAAAGGGGCAGGGCCAGGGGCACACAGCCCATGGTGCTTCTAAGAGCACCCCATGTCATCTTCCCCCCAGCCCTTAGAGCCACCATGAGTGTTCTGAGTGGGCATTCCGGTGGCAATTTAAAGGACCCGAGACTCCAGGTGCCACTGCTGCTACTGTGGTAGTGGCAGCCCCACACCCTTTATAATCATGCGCGCCAGAGCGGCCACAGGATTTCCTTGACTAAAGTCCAGTGAAAATGGGAAGGGAAAGAACATAAGAACATAAGAACGGCCGTACTGGGTCGGACCAAAGGTCCATCTAGCCCAGTATCCTGTCTGCCGACAGTGGCCAGCACCAGGTGCCCCAGAGAGGGTGGACCGAAGACAACGATCAAGCGATTTGTCTCCTGCCATCCCTCTCCAGCCTCTGACAGACAGAGGCCAAGGACACCATTTTATCCCCTGGCTAATAGCCTTTTATGGACCTAACCTCCATGAAATTATCTATCTTCTCTTTAAACTCTATTATAGTCCCAGCCTTCACAGCCTCCTCTGGCAAGGAGTTCCACAGGTTGACTACACGCTGTGTGAAGAACTTTCTTTTATTAGTTTTACACCTGCTCCCCATTAATTTAATTTGGTGAAAGAAATGGACAAATAATAAAAACTCGGGAGGAGAACATAAAAAAATATTAATATCTACCAATCATGACCTAGGAGGAAAAACTGATAAACGAGGGTTTGTTTGGTCTATAGAAGACGGGGTGGGATGGACATTATAACAATCTTCAAGTAAAAATTTATTATAAAGAGGAGGAGGATACATTGTTCTCCTTAGGCATTGAGGCTAGATCAAGAAGCAATAGGCTTACACTGCAGAAACGATGGTTTAGGTTGGACATTAAGAACAACTTCCTGACAGGCTAGTTAAGCACTGGTACAAAAATGACTTGGGAAAGCCATGAAATCTGTCTCTGGAGGTTTTTGAGAACAGGTTAGGTGTTAATATTTAGTCTTGGCTCAGTGGAGGGGACTGGACTAAAGTCCTTTGGAGGTTCCTTCCAGTCTTACGCTGCCGTGCTTCTACAATTTAATCAACTCTTTGCCTCACGTTCCCATATGTAAACTGAAGATAACACTTCCTCGCCTTCTCAGGGTGTTGGCAGGATAAAATCCTTTAATGATTGTGAGAAATCTTCCTCACTAAGCAAATGTTTCTTATTCTTTGCAACATAATATGTAATGGAATATGTAGGCTGAGAATCTCAACTCCACTTAGAGGATTTGGCTGTCCAGTTCCTTTTCATGGGAATTTGTGAGCCAAATCCCTTAGATGGGGGGGGAAAAAAACACAGTTGAGAAAAAAAAAAAAAACAGTGGAGCCCTAATTAAAAGTTGAGGTATCTAACTGAAAATCATACCAATGGTTCCATGACAACACACTTAGACCACTAGTTTGTTTTACAAACCTGCAGAAAATCTAATTGCATCTCCCGAGCGCAATGGAACACATGATCCATTTGCTAGTAATATTTCTAACAAATGTCACAGAGACTTTTTTTCAAAGAAGGAAAACTCTAGTCAGATTTTATTCCCCAAAACTAGGTTTCAGTGTGCTTTTTTTGCTGCCAGATTAATGCTGAGTGGTTATTGAAAAGTGTCTTAGTTCTATAAAAAAGAAAGAAAACACTTTTCTTCCACAAAAAGGAAAACTAAAAGTGCAAATAATCGGTTTGTAACAAAACACAAGGTCAAAATCTGCTCTTGAAAATATTAGGAAAAACCCAGAGTTACTCCACTGAACTCCATGGGATTTCATTGGGTTCAACTAAGAGCAGAAAATGGCTATTTATCTACTTGCAGATAGATCTCTTATTTACTAATTGTATCTGTCTGAAGCAAATACCCATTTGGCCCATTCCTATTTTTGATATTGTAGAAAAGAGACCCAAGAAACCGTGAAACCAGTAATAAATACCAATTTGGTAGCTCACTATATATTTCTCAGGGATCCCGTTTCTAGGGCTGGATTTTTTACACAAAATGGAGTTTTCAATAAGACAAAACACTGATGGCAAGTCTCTGCTTTCTACAAAAACTGCTGAGCTTTTTTCAACTCCCCTACCCCCCGCCAAAAAAAATACTAATGACCAAAAACTCAAAACACTGATTTTTTAGTTGAAAACTTATCTGATGCTCGAATAGGTTGAACCACTCTAGTTCGGCACTCTTTGCTCTAGCAACATCTGTGGTCCGGCTTGATTTGATTAGCTGGGTGTCTACTTATCCTGCATGTAGCCCAGTTTCCTGCGGTCAATTAAAATTTGTTTACAGCCTCCAGTCCCGGCTCTCAATGTTCTGAACTATTATTTAGCTCTAATTTACCCCTTTTAAGAGCCCAGTAAGGAGTGTTGGTAATGCTGCTAGTCAATATTGACCTCCCATGGTTTGGCAAATTCTCTTCTTTGGCACCGGTCACATTCCAAGGGTGCTGGAGGAGAGAGGTTCAGCATGTAGAACTGTCACAGTTTGCCACTTGCTTTCCCTTCATAATTACTGCAATGTCAATCACCATAGCTTCTGAGCGATTTCAATAGTCCATTGAGTATATGCAAATTGCCCTTGTGTACTTTGTCAGTTATTTTCTACCTCTTTCAATTCTCTTCCAGTTTCAACTCAATTTGGTGTTCCTCACTTCCTGTCCTACACTGGTGAATTCTACCTCCAATACGGTGTGGATTCCTATACATGTTTGGCAGTTTAGGTTTCTTTTGCCTCAAAAGAGCTATATAAAGGTAAGACCATTGGACATGCCCTTTAATACCACGTATTTACAATCTCGGGGGTGGTGGCAGTGGTCTGCTTTGTTATGTTTTTGTTTCTCTTGGTTGCCCAAATTGGGAGCCTGAGAATATGTGCATGTGTGTGTGTGTGTGCCCACGCATATGTGTACACTGGTATATATGCTTTCAGCAATGAAATGTTTTTGGGTGAGTACCAGAACATACTAATTATCACTTCAACCACCATCTGAAAAGAGAAAAAATAAAACTTCCAAGGAAAATAGTTAAAATCTTACCACCGCCAATGTCTCGCCGGGGTTGTTTTGGACACTGTGCAGTCAGAGCTTCCCTCTGTTAAAGAGAAAGAAAGTTAGTAAGTCTTATGCAAGGCCTTTAAATGGAGTGGGCAATGAATTTTGTTTATACAAAATCAGGGCTGATGTCTTCACCTACGATTAGTAGTCATGAGGAAGATTCCAACTGAACTTGCTGTTATTTCAAAGCATAGCTCCAAATAACGGAAGCCTTTTCAGTAGGACCACAGATGTTTCAAGGTGGTCAACAAAAGGTGATGCTATGAGCCCCTTCACTGGTGTTGAACAATGCCCTTTACATTAAGAGAAGTCCCATTGAAACCAGCAGGGACTAGGGGTCACCAAATGAAATTATTAGCAGGTTTAAAACAAACAAAACAAAGTACAGGCAGTCCCCGGGTTACGTACAAGATAGGGATTGTAGGTTTGTTCTTAAGTTGAATTTGTATGTAAGTCGGAACTAGCATCCAGATTCAGCCGCTGCTGAAACTGACCAGCGGCTGACTACAGGAAGCCCGTGGCAGAGTTGCTCTGCCCCAGGCTTCCTGCAATCAGCCGCTGATCAGTTTCAGCAGCAGCTGACTTGGGGAC